TCATTCCTGGTATGCATGGGTGGTTCAATATTTGCAAGTCAATCAATGTGATACATTACATTAACAAGAAAAAAAGGATAAAAACTGCATGATCATTGTAATAGATGCAAAAGAGCATTTGACAAAGTATAACATCCATTCATGGTAAAAACCCTCAACAGAGTAGGTTTAGAGGGAACATACCTCAACATAATGAAGGCCATCTATGAAAAACCCACAGCTAACATCATGCTCAATGGTGAAAAACTGAGAGCTTTTCCCCTAAGATCAGGAATAAGACAAGGATGTCTACTCTCACCACTTGTATTCCACATAGTACTAGAAGTCCTAGCCACAGTAATCAGACAAGAAAAAGAAATAAAAGACATTCAAATTGGTAAGGAAGAAGTAAACTTTCACTATTTGCAGGTGATATGTTCCAATATATATAAAAAAACCTTAAAACTCCATCAAAAAACTACTAGAACTGATAAATGAGCTCAGTAAGGTTGCAGCATACAAAATCAATATACAGAAATCCACTGCATTTCTATACACTAATAATGAAGTAGCAGGGAGAGAAATTAAGAAAACAATCCCATTTACATTTACATCAAAAAGAATAAAATACCTAGGAATAAACTTAACCAACAAGGTGAAAGACCTGATTCCAAAAACTATAAAACACTGATGAAAGAAACTGAATACACAAACATGTGGAAAGACATTCCCTCATGGATTGAAAGAACCACTATTGTTAAAATGTGCATACTACCCAAAGCAATCTACAGAGTTAATGCAATCCCTATCAAAACACCAACAGCATTTTTCCTAGAACTAGAATAACCCTAAAATTTGTATGGAACCACAAAAGACCCCAAATAGCCAAAGCAATCTTGAAAAAGAACAAAGCTGGAGGTATCACAATCCCAGATTTCAAAATATACTACAAAGCTATACTAATTAAGACAGTATAGTACTAGCACAAAACCAGACACATAGTTCAATGGAACAGAATAGAGACCCCAGAAATAAACCCATGCTTATATGGTCAATTAATCTTTGACAAAGGAGGCAAGAATATGCAATGTGAAAAGGCAGTCTCTTTAACAAAGGATGTTGGGAAAACTGGACAGCTACATGCAAAAGAGTGAAACTGGATCACTTTCTTACACTATCTACAAAAATAAACTCAAAATGGATTAAAGACCTAAATTTGAGACCTGAAACCATAAAAGTCCTAGAAGAGAACACAGGCAGTAATTTCTCTGACATCCGCTGTAGCAATATTTTTCTAGGTATGTCTCCTGAGGCAAGGAATACAAAAACAAAAATGAACTATTGGGACTACATCAAAATATAAAGGAAACAATCAGCAAAACTAAGGGCAACCTACAGAATGGGAAAATATACTTGCAAATGACATATCCAAAAAAGGGCTAGTGTCCAAAATATATAAAGAACAGTTACAACTCAATTCCCCCAAAACAAATAACCCAATTAAAAAATGGGCAGAAGACATGAATAGACATGTTTCCAAAGAAGACATCCAGATGGCCAACAGACACATGAAAAGGGGCTTAACATCACTCATCATCACGGAAATGCAAAACAAAACCACAATGGGATATCACTTTACACCTGTCAGAATGGCTGAAATAAAAAATATCAGAAACAAGTGTTGACAAGGATGGGAAGGAAAAGAAACCCTCCTGCACCACTGGTGGGAATGCAAACTGGTACAGCCACTGTGGAAAACAGTATAGAGGTTCCTCAAAAAGTTAAAAATATAATTACCATATGACTCAGCAATTTCACTACTGGGTATTTACCCAAAGAATAGGAAAACACTAATTTGAAAAGATACACTTTTACTGCAGCATTATTTACAATAGCCAAACTATGGAAGCAGCCCAAGTGCCCATGGATAAGTGAATGGATAAAGATGTCACACACACACACACACACACACACACACACACACACACACACACACACAGGAATATTACTCAGCTATAAAAAAGAATGACATCTTGCCATTTCAACAACATGGAGGGTATAATGCTAAGTGAAAGCATAGCAAAGAAAACGAAGAGTCTAAAGTAATTGGAGTAGAGTAATCGATGGGAAGAGAGAGAGAGTAAATGAGAATGGTGAGGAAGCTAACAAACTGGATTATTTTAGACAACGTTGAGAAATTCCGACTTTATTCTAAGTGTGATGGGAAGCCATTGAAGGATTAAGAGCATGTACAATGACCATTATAGTTTATTCTTTAAAAGGATGACAAAGTCCTTACCCCCACGGGGGAGAGAGACAATAAACAAATATGCAAACAAAAAAACATATATGCATAAAAATGCCGAGTAGTGATCACTGCTCTGAAGGGACAGGATCACTGCTATGTGGAAGACAGGCTACAGAATGGTGTGAGTGGAAGCATAAGTGGGAGCCAGGCACCAGTTAGGAAGCTAGATGGTGGCTAGGGAGAGAAGATTAAGTTCTCTTTTGGACATGCTGGGTTTGAGATACTATTTGACATCCAAATACAAAGTCACTTATGCACTCATTCATTCACTCAGTAAATAGTTATAAGCACTACTGTGTACCCCCAGGCACTCTTCCAGTTGCTGGGATTATTGTAGTACATAAAAAGCCTGCCTAGAGGAGTTAGCTAACTGTGGTGGTAATCCTGTTGCCTTACCTGAGTATATCCAATCAACATCTCTTACCCCTCAAAAAAACAGTGTTACATGTCAATTACATCTCAGTGGAAAAAGGCTGCCTTTGTGGAGTTTATCTTCTGGTAGGGTGGGGAGAAACAACAAGCAAGTGTAAGTCAGTGGGGTCAGTGCTAGGAGGGAAGGTGAAGCCGGGTGAAGGGGATAGGGAGTGGGGAGGTGGAGAACAGGCTGCCATTTCAGAGTAGAAAGGATAAGCCTCTCTAAGATAAGATCTGAGCAGGCCTGAAGAGGTGAGGGAGTGAACCCAGAACTAGCTGGGGAGAGAGGGAGGCAGATGCAGACAGAATAGAGCCTAAGAGTCGTGAGACAACAGGTGCTTGGCAGGCTCGAGGAACAGTGAAGGACAGCAGTGCCTCCGGAGTGAAGCACGTGAGGGGTGACAGAAAATAGTCATAAGAAATAGGAGGAGGCCATCATGAATGTTGCAGGGACCCGCCTGGCTTTCACTGAGCCAGAAGCACTGGAGGGATGAGAGCAGAGGAGGCCCATGAGCTGTTAAAATCGTCACTCAGGCTGCTGTGTCTGTGTGTGTGGAGGAGGCTGAGGGAGTTTAGGGTGGAAACAGGCAGGAAGCTTGTGTAAGAGTCTAGGGAAGAGGTGGCTGTGGTTTGGCACAGCGCAGCGCAGTAAAGGTGGTGAGGACAATTTGATTGGGGATAGAAAGGGGAAGCACCCAAGATTTGCATATGGAATGGATATAGTGTATGTGAGAGGGGATGGGGCCAAGGTTTCTGTGTGGCTTGGATGACTCGGAGGGAGGGGATTCCTAATCACTAAGAGGGTTAAGTCTATAAAAGGAGCAGGGTGGATGGCGGAGCCAGGAGTCTGCTTTGGATGTCTTCAGTCTAGAGACCATCTGCAGTAATGAGTCAGATACAGCAGGTAGGTCTGGATAGGAAATCTGGGAACCATCAGCCTACTCAAGTCCGGAGCCTGGGTGAGATTACCTGGGGGCAAGTGGAAAGAGGAGAGGCTGAGATGGAATAGGGCTCCTTCCACGGAGCTTCCATTCTACAGGAAGAGACAGAAAATGGTCAAAAATATGTGATGGGTGCAATGTAGAGAAATAAGGCCAAGGAATGCACTAGAGGATGATGGTTGGTATGTGTCTGGGTATGTTACTTGTCTATGTGTCACAGATGCAATTAAATATATGAGTCTGGAACTGTATATGAAATAGTCTGGATATATAAATTTAATAGTCACCAACATGTTGAACTCCTCAAGACCGGACAGGATCACTCCAAGAACGGAGGTTGATAAATTTAAAAATCTGAGAACTGAGCCCTAGGAGTTTCCAACATTTACAGTGGAACTTGCTATAATGGGTTTTGCTTTCTGAAATTTATGCAGAAGGTGGGTTGTCAACAGGGCAGCCCTCTCTCCAAGCCGCTGCCTGAACTGCTAGTTTGCTCAATCTTTAGACCAGCTTGGAGGTGTTCTTCCTGTGTTTTCCTCAGACTCCCACATCAGAACCAACTGAGGCGCTTGTTAAAAATGAAGATTCCATGTCCTTCCCCAATTGCCCGAACCGACCTCTGGGACTAGACCCAGAGAAAACAAACCGCAGATGATTTTCATGACCACGAAGGTTGGAAGCCACTGCATCAAAGGCAGGGAGGAAAAATAGAAGACAATTCGAGTGAAGGGAAACAAGACATGGTTAGGTTAAGACTGACTCAGTCTGTGGCCAGAGGGGAGCTCCTGAAGGTGCTGAGGACGGAGCTCTAGGATCAGATCCTCACGCTGTGCGGAGGAGCTGTGGTGGGGAGACAGAACATGGAAATGCACATTCGGCTCCTGAATTATATACTTACTGCTATAGTCAGGCCTATCAGGATTGGAATTCCTCAGTTCTTCAAATGTTTTAGAATGTTTTTATAGGAATGAGCTGACTTTTTAAGAAAAAAACTATGTTAGCTTTTTTAATCTTCTGTGTTTTGTGAAGGAGGGAGGAAAAACAATTATTTGGGCTAAAACAAATTGTTCCCAGCATAACACAGAATTAGGCCTTATTCTAGAAATGGAAGGCTCATCATAATTTTTTCAATTAGAAAGGTGTCTAGTCGACATCTTCTATTATAGTGCTAAGTGCAACAGAGCAAAGAATCCATATCTAAATCATAAGTCATTATACTCCACTCTACTCTGGAGGCTGAATATATAGACATTATAAAGGAAAACAACTGAACAGATTTATTTAGAGGCCACTTGTTAAGGCATGCTTTAAAATAAAACACTTCTGTGTATACAAAAATAGAGCCGACTTCATATTTTGATTTATGAAAAATAAATTTATTACATAACACCTTGTTTTTAACAATGTTCAATTTTTTTTTTAAATTCAGAATACTTGTGTCATTCATGTAAAATAGTTTGATACAGTACATTGTATGTTATAGGTTTTTTTTTTTTCCTCAAAAATTCTAAGGCTCTCCTACTCCTTCTCCTTTGCTGAAGTAAGGGCACCCTAAACAACGTGCGAACAAGTTTTAAAAAGTAAAATTAACTGAACAAAATTTTAATAGCACTACACCAACCAGCTTTAAAATCAAGACAAAATATCTGAATCGGATGCCGCACCTTTCAGAGGAAGTTATCATTCATGCTTTTTTCATCTTAAAGCATGCTCACTAATCAGCAACACCAACAGGAAAAATAAAACACTGTCTATGACAATCATTTCAGTTTGTTTGCTGAACCAAACAGGTTTATATCAATGACAACATATTTAATTACTATCAAATAGCAGCTTTAATACCAGTCAAGTCATAGATTGAAAACAAAAACAAACTTATAAGTTGGAAATTAATCTTTGGGAGTTTTGAAACCTTTCTGGAAAAACTATGTGGCTTTTGTACTTTCAAAAAAACCCAAGCAACAGTCTTGGTCAAAAAACACTGATTAATGTAGAAAATGAATCAACCCACTGATAAGACACTAAAATGAAAGGTGTACCAAAATAATCTCACTTTGAGTCTTGGTTATTTTGTTGAGTTAACATATACTGTATGTTTCAAGTACCAGTTAAACTTCTGTGTGTGTGTGTGTGTGTGTGTGTACTATTGGTCAGATAATGTTGTTACACTGAAAGAATTCACCACATACAAGACAAATGCTCGCCCCTAGCACATTTCACAGCTTCAACTGCTACAGACTGTCACTGAAAAAAATGCATTGGTCAGTCTGAACCATGTCAAGTAAACTATGGAAGTAGCAAATCCACAACACAAACTGTGCTAGCACTTTCTTTCAAGTCTAACTCCAAAACAGGTACAACTTGGAAGCCACTACCCCGGTCTGTGAAAGGTGGTGGAACTTGGCTGCTGGGCAGTCTGAGGATGTGGGTGTACAGTACATTCCATGGCCCGTACCAGGTTCCCGCAGAGAGCTGCACCGTCAGTCCTGCAGCGCCAGCAACAGTGCTTGACAACATTCCAGCGCAGCTCAGTACCGGTGTGTCTGATGCGAGTACTGTGGAGGCTGCTGGGAGGTAGTTGAGTATCCCATGCTGCTCTGTGGCTGTGATGTGCTTGGTCCAGGGTTGGGATAGGCAGCATGTGGATTGGAACGCTGCAAAAGAAGAACGAGCGAGAAATGAGAGTCAGGTGTTTCCAAGAGATGGCTCTGCCCCAAGCCAGTGAGGCTTAGGTTTGCAATGGCATTTATTTCAAGGCAGTAACAATTAAAAAGTCTTGTGCTGTGTACTAGGCTTTAGAATGACAATGACAAAAACCCCCAATCTTTTAATATCAACTAAGGTCAGAAGTATTGCCAGTAAATAACATTAAGCTGGGTCTTATTTCTTTTTTTTTTTTTTT